CAAGGCAGGATGTCTTATAGACTACGTCAATCTGAGGGTTGTATTGAAGCCAAATGGCTACAGAACAACGAAACTAAAAAATCGTCTTCTGGTAAAATCTACATTTTAATCTCTTCATCATTCCCATTTATACGAAATGGAAGTCTCTATAGCAATGTTCCCACTATCAGACTTTCACGATGGGGCATAAAACAGCTCAACAAAATTTATTAAAATCGCTGTGAAATGCACCGATCATTTATCCGAATAATGACCCTCTGATTTCCAGGGGAAGGGGTAAAAAAATCCTCCATACATTCCATGGCATCAAAAATCCACCAAAAAAAGGAAGAAAGAATATTCTCCCTAAATGTCCAATGATTTGTTAACCTTTAAGGTTAAGGTTTACGTTTGCGTGCGCGAGTGTATGTATGTGGCGTAATGACGGCATTGTTATTCGACTCGGGAGTAATTATTAGACAATAGGACGAGGTGGAAACCGCGTTGGAGTCCGGGATGAGAAAACATTTTGTGGGGCAAGGCCATGTGAAATCCAAAATGCATTTTGCCGACTTTCACAAACCTATCCCCTTCTAAACCGTCTTAACTGATCGAAGGTGACTCGAGGTCCTCTCGACAAATATCACTTACCAACAGGAAGTGTAGTTTATCTAAAGCCAGGCCTTGTCTCCGACATTAATTGACTGAGGATGTATGTTTGCTACCAGAAACAATGACGTTCATATTATTTGGTCTCTTCAAAGCCTAAGGAGGTAGAGGAAAAATTGATTATTTTTATTTTCTGCTAACGTTGGACACGTGTCGCATCTTGCAAAAAGGGGGAAGACATCTGATGTTGTTAGTAGATGATCCTTTCGGTGCGGAGCCGTCTTATCATCAAAAATCAGGTTCACCCACAGACATTGTCTCTCTGTTCAAATTGCTCAGACCTAATTTTGCTGACATGCACAGAAAGGCAAGCATGCAAACAGGAGTTGTCGACCGACTTGGGCAGTTTCCAGGACGTATGAAGCATGAATGAAGTCGTCGTCGAGTGAAGCAGAGGTGTGTAGTGTTCGTGTAGGAGGCCGCAACATGACTTCAGCTGGACCCTCGTTTGTTGGTCGAGCCTCGGTTGGCCCGGGCCGGTCGCGTTCGAGGTGGACGGTTGCAACATGGGCTTCGGGAGTCAGTTTTATTTGCAGTTCGTCACTTCGGCTCACTCGCCGGACGGCAGAGGCTCCGAATGGCCTGTAGACCTCGAGTCCAGTGTTTGCAATAAAAGCCGAATCCACCTTGAGTCGGTGAGGAAGGTTAAGTTCTGATTGAAGGCCTTTTGACAGTAGCCAAACATACTACTTATGAATGCGAGTTAAGTAGGTTTTTCGGTCGGCCTAGGTCTGGCTG